TACATATGCACACACACACACACACACACACACACACACACACACACACACACACACACACATATATATATATATATATATATATATATATATATATATATATATATATATATATGTGTGTGTGTGTGTGTGTGTGTGTGTGTGTGTGTCTGTGTGTGTCTGTGTGTGTGTGCGTGTGTGTGTGTTTATATATATATATAATATATATATATATATATATATATATATATATATATATATATATATATATATATATATATATATATATATATATATATATATTCACAGAGAGAGGACAAGTAGACAAGAAAAAAAAATCGACCGGTAAACGTAAACCGTGAAGCAGTCAAATCCACGGCTAAACCTCTCAGACGCGACACGGGACTGGTCTCCGGAGCGAGAGCCCACCCGCCCTCACCCCACCCAACCACCGCCCACCCGCCCTCACCCCACCCAACCACCGCCCACCCGCCCTCACCCCACCCAACCACCGCCCTTTTAGAGAAGGGCAGACCTGCCTCCTCGTCGAACTGCTCTTGTTTCACCCTCCATCGGTCACCAAGGCCAACGTAAGCAGACTGAACTGGGAGATCGACTAAAGCAACATATTTCGGTTTGAAATCTTAGCTTCTCGCAGCATGTATGGGCGCAGAGGAGAGCGCGCTTGGACCCTTGTCTCTTTCGCGTCGCCGGCCGAAGGAGGGTGTAGAGGGATGGCCGGTTCAGCACTTTCTTTGTCTTGAGATGGAATCAAAACTGGAGATGTTTGAAGCTGCTCTGAAGACGGCCTGAGCCTCCTGTAAGTGGAGCCATGCCCGGAGATAAGGTTCGGGTTGGTGGTATTTGTATTTATTTAATTGAAATTCTTTATCTTACCAACAAGGTCAACGTCACTTTTTCGTTCTTTCCTTTTAATTGTTTTATATGATTTTCTTCGTTCTGCACACAAAGCCATACGCCATCCCTCGCACGAAACCTGCGAACGACGCAAGAATGATGAAAAGATTATTGGTTCCAGTAGGCGGTCGCCATAAGCGCTTGATACATTTCACACAAGAAAGGCTGCGCCCTTTTGTTTGTTGCTGGGCGGTGTGGCACAAAAGCGGCTACATTTTATTTATTTTGCGCCAGTGATCAGCTGGTGAAACCTCTGTAGAATCTTTAGTATAGTGAATTCTTTGTTTTAATGACTTTGTTTTAATGACTTCAAGAAGCTTTATCGTCATGCATTCAAACCTGGATCATTAATTACTGTAAGATTTGTTGGCGTTATTCTCTAGCCTTCAGAGATGTCTAGTTCCTGCCTTTTTCTCATTTGGAACGCTTCTAAATTTAATGAAATATTGACCCAGCAGACCACAAGGACTGTCTCTCGCTGGTGAAATTTTCTGTGCCGCTGACCCGGCGCCGAAGGCCGGGGGAGCGGAAAATATCAACTTGAGGTAATCTATTTTGCCCTCGGGGGGCGTTGAGGTCGGCCTTAGTCAGTATTGGTCTATTTTATTTCGTGTTAATACTGATACCCGTTTTATCTTCACTTTTGTTGCCATTTCACCTCTCGCAGCAAAGGTGTGTGCATTTATGTTTTTAGAAAAACTGCCTATATGTTCACAAATGAAAGATTTATCCCCTCATAGTGATCAAAGACATAAGCCGTGTTCGGTTATGGTGAACTCTCGTACAAGATTTAAATGTGAGTTATTTGACATTTAACTATATGTGATTGACATCATCCCATACGCACATAGGGTGTACAAATATAACTGCATATATTTTTTTTCTTCCTTTTGTGATTTACATGTAAACAACGCTGACCGTCCGTGCTACAATGATCCTTAGTCACTTTTCTGTCCCTCTTCTTCCAAAAGGCTATTCCTAAACACCTCTGCTTGTACTGATAACCGAATCATTACCTTAGGAATAAAACTAAATACTTCGGTTGTAATAGAACGCAGAACCAATTAGTGTAATGGCAAATTTAAGAAAACATAACTGCACGATATCTGGCTCAATATCTCGGCTCTCCCCAGCAATAAGCTACATTTTAGCCATCTTCTGGCTATGAACCCGCCGCTCGCAATCCTGGGAAATAACCCGTGTACTGAATGGGGCTAATGGTACTCGGTGTGTGTAATGATCAAATCAATTCACATTCGCGATTATTAAATCTGTATCCAGGTAGCTCTTCACGTGGCGCAGAAGCCATTGTGCGTGCCATTAACCCGTGGAGTGAAATAATCAGAGGTTAATGAGAGCTTCATTTCTGGTCACTAGAATCCCTTTATAGAATAGATGTTCCGTGAGCCATGACGCGACTTACGTAAAAGAGCTGTAGTCTATTTATAGATCCAAGTGAGGTTATTTACCTCGATAGAACAGCTTTAAAAAGGAAAGGCCTACGCTGACTGTCTCTCTGTAAGCTTGCAACCTGTCGCAAAATAGCAAGGGTAATCCGGGATTTTACCATTGCCATTGGTAACATATGTTTTAGAGGGTAATCACAAAAAAAGGAAAATCACGACAAATCTTTTTAATTACTAGTGTTAATATACCGTAAGAGATATTGGCCCTTTTGTCTTTTCGTAAGAAATGAAGCGATAACGGAGCAGATGATGTGTTTGTTGAATGAATGCTCTCATGGGATTTAGCATTTACAGTAGAAAAATACAGCAATAATTATGATGGTGATAATAATTATTATTATCGATGTAATTTCATTAAAATAATATTAACGCTAATAAACAATTAGTGAACACAGTGGCAATAATGATAATAGCAGTAGTAATAAGGATAATAAGAAGATAATAATGACGATGATGAAAATAATGATAATGATGCTAAAATTATGATAATAACAATGACAATAATGATAATGATAACACTAACAACATTATGATAATGACATCAATGGTAATGATAATAATAACAGTAATAATGAGAGTGATAATGATGACAATAATAATAATTATAATTATAATAATAATAATAATAATGATAATAACAGTCATTATGATACAGATAATGAAATTAAGGATGAAAATAATAATAATGATAACAGCAACATTGATAATAATAATAATGATGATATTGATAATAACAATAATAATAACAATAGATATATCAACAATAACACGGACAATGATAAAAGTTATATCAATAACAGTGACGACAATCATACCAACAATACTAACACTAACGCTTGCAGTGCTGGCCCGGGCTCTGGGCGGGGCGGCCCTCGTGCCCAGCGAGGATAACCAACAATTAATTGCGTCTTTTATCCGCGAATTTCCACCGAGGGCTGCGCTGGGGACGGAATTTGCGCTGTAACCCGCACTGATTTTAGTTTCGCAATTCCTTAGTTAAAAATGCGTGCTGTTGTTATTGTTATTGTTTATTTTTGTGAAAAGCTACGGTAAGGAAACTATCGCATGGCCACTCTGCCATGATAGTGTGGCTTTATCAAGAATGAGAAGTATAACAATAATTTTGGTGAACCGTATTCATGTTGACAAATGTGGAAAGGTATGAATGAGAACGAATATCTTCACAATACAAGAGATGTATTTAACCGGTTCAATACATCTCTTGTATTGTGAAGATATTCGTTCTCATTCATACCTTTCTACAAATAATTTTGGTATATGTTGGTATCTAATATTTTTCTTTAATTTTTACGGAACCGGTGATATTTTTGCACTAGTATTATTTCCCCTTGAGTTACCAGCAGGCCATTCTTTTCTTTCTTTTTTCTTTTTATCGGGAGGAGCCCTTTCCTGATTAGAGTCAACAAAGACCGTCCTCTCAAGGGCACCGAAGCAGCTTCGGTGGCGAGCGAGAGCGAAATGGACGCAGCCGAAGTCAGTCGCGTCGGCGACCCGCTCTCTCTGTTCGGGCGAGTAGAAGTAAAGCATTGACAACGGAAAGGCCCCTCTCTCGGGAATTTTCTGAACAGGGAAATGGGGAATCCACCTGGAAAAAAATCGATGCATACACCCGCGCGCACGTGAAATATATGTATAAACTATGACGCTGGATACCCGTATGAATTATCCATAAACGATAATGATCTACGATACTCACAAGTCTTTTCAGTTCAAGCCTGCGACTAAAGTAGTCACAGACACACAACTTACAGACACATGTCTCACAGATACAAAATATAGACACACAACTTGCAAACACACGACTCACAGACACACACACTACTCACAGACAAGCAACTTATAGACACACAACACACATACAACTTAGGGACTCGTAATTCACAGACAAACGGCTCACAGACAAACAACTCACAAACACTGCTCAAAGACACACAACTAACAAACAACGACTTACAAATAACTCACAAACACACAGTTCAAATACACACAAACAAATAATTCACAGACACACAGCGCACAAACACAACGCCTCACAGACAGCGCACAGACACACAACGAACAGACACGCAGCCCACAGACACATAGCTCAAATACACACAACAAACAAATAATTCACAGACACGCCTCACAGACAATCCTCTCCACCCACACGGAGGCAAATCACTGGCTGCTCGGAGGACGGCGACGCGGGCGCGAGCGGCGACGCGACTTTCATATCGAGGCCCAAAAAATGACTCTAATTGGGAACATTAAGTTGCAGGAGAAAATGGCGCGCAATGTTCCAATTGTTGATTCATTTGCTAGCGATGATTTCCTTTCTGCTTCTGTAAGAGGAATGAGAGAGAGAGAGAGAGAGAGAGAGAGAGAGAGAGAGAGAGAGAGAGAGAGAGAGAGAGAGAGAGAGAGAGAGAGAGAGAGAGAGAGAGAAAGTGAGAGAGAGAGAGAGAGAGAGAGAGAGAGAAGAGAGAGAGAGAGAGAGAGAAGAGAGAGAGAGAGAGGAGAGAGAGAGAGAGATTAGGAGAAGAGAGAGAGAGAGAAAGAGAGAGAGAGAAGAGAGAGAGAGAGAGAGAGAGAGAGAGAGAGAGAGAGAGAGAAGAGAGAGAGATTAGAGAGAGAGAGATTAGAGAGAGAGAGAGAGATTAGGAGAAAGAGAGAGGAGAGAGAGAGAGAGAGAGAGAGAGAAGAGAGAGAGAGAGAGAGAGAGAGAGAGAGAGAGAGAGGGAGAGAGAGAGATTAGGAGAGAGAGAGAGAGAGAGAGATTAGGAGAGAGAGAGAGAGATTAGGAGAGAGAGAGAGAGAGATTAGGAGAGAGAGAGAGAGAGAGAGAGAGAGAGAGAGAGAGAGAAGAGAGGAGAGAGGAGAGAAGAGAGAGAGAGAGAGAGAGAGAGGAGAAGGGAGAGAGAGAAGAGAGAGGGAGGGAGAGAAAGGGGAGAAGAGAGAGGTAGAGCGAGAGGCGTGAGAGAGAGATGGATGAGACATAGACCTGGGAGAGAAAGAGCAAGAGAGAGAAAAGGAGAGATTGCGAGAGAGAGAGAGAGAGAGAGGAGGAGAGAGAAAGGGGAGACAGAGAGAGGGGAGAGAGAAAGGGGAGACAGAGAGAGGGGAGAGAGAAAGGGGAGACAGAGAGAGACAGAGATAGAGGAGGAGAGAGAAAGAGAGGAGAGAGAGAGAGCGAGAGAGGAGGAGAGCGCGAGAGAAGAGGAGAGAGAGAGAGGGAGAGAGGAGAAGAGAGAATGAGGAGAGAGGGAGAGAGAGAGAAAGGGGAGGCAGAGAGAGGGGGGGGAGAGAAAGGGGAGAGAGAGGGAGAGAGAGGGGGGAGAGAGGGAGAAGAGAGAGAGAGGCGAGAGAGAGAGAGAGAGAGAGAGGAGAGGAGGAGGAGAGAGAGAGAGAGGAGGAGAGAAATAGAGAGAGAGGAGAAGAGTGAGAGAGAAGAGCGCGAGAGAGGAGGAGAGACAGAAAGTGAGGGATAGAATAGAAGAGAGATAGGGGGGAAGAGGGAGAAGAGGAAGAGAGAGAGAGAAGAGGAGGAGGGAGAGAGAAAGGGGAGACAGACAGAGGGGAGGTGGAGAGAGAGAGAGGAGAGGAGAGAGAGAGGAGGAGGAGGAGAAGAGGAGAGAGAGAGGAGAGAGAAAGAGAGAGAGAGAGAGGGAGAGAGAGAGAGAGAGAGGAGAGAGAGAGAGAGAGAGAGAGAGAGAAGGGAGGGGGGGGGGGGAGAAAGGGAGAAGAGAGAGAGAGAGGAGGGAGAGAAAGAGAGAGATAGGGGAGAAGAGAGAGGTAGAGCGAGAGGTGAGAGAGAGACAGGGGAGAGAAAGAGCGAGAAAGAGAGAGGAGACGGGGGAGATAAAGAGCGAGAGAGAGAGAGAGACAGGGGAGAGAAAGAGCGAGAGAGAGAGAGACAAGGGGAGAGAAAGAGCGAGAGAGAGAGAGAAGGGGAGAGAAAGAGCGAGAGAGAGAAGAGAGAGACAAGGGGAGAGAAAGAGCGAGAGAGGATGGAGAGAGAGAGACAGGGGAGAGAAAGAGCGAGAGAGAGACAGGGAATGGAGAGAGAAAGAGCGAGAGAGAGAGAGGGGATGGAGAGAGAGACGGAAGGAAAGAGATAGAGAGAGAAGGGGGGAGAAAAGAGCGAGAGAGAGAGAGGGGATGGAGAGAGAGACAGAATAGAGAAAGAGAGAAGAGGAGAGAGAGAGAGACAGGGGAGAGGAAGAGCGAGAGAGAGAGGGGGGGATAGAGAGAGAGACAGGGGAGAGAAAGAACGAGAGAGAGAGAGAGAGAGAGAGAGAGAGAGAGAGAGAGGGGATGGAGAGAGAGACAGGGGAGAGAAAGACCGAGAGAGAGAGAGAGAGAGAGAGACAGGGGAGAGAAAGAGCGAGAAGAGAGAGAGAGGGGATGGAGAGAGAAACAGGAGAGGGAAAAGAGCAAGAGAGAGAAACGGAGAGATTGCGCCTCCGCCCGGCAAAGCTCGGCTTGGCGGCGCGTTCGGGCGGCGACTTCAGTGTTCTTCCAGCCTCCGTACAGGCAAGGTATTGGCGGTCCGTGGAAGCATCAGTCACATCGTCTGTCACGCACCAGGAACGTTAGCCTGAAGTGTCAGACGTCTCCTGTTAGCCGCCCCTTGTGAAGGCCAGGCGTGGGGGGGAGGGGGGTCCTATCACTAGGTCCCTTGGTGGTTTTCTGGAAGGAAATCTGGCCTTTCTGAGGCCAAATATACTGTGAATGGTTAGTTGACTTTCGTGCGTCGAAGGGAGACACCGAAGGGGGGTTCGTGTTTCGAACAGTCAAGTGCTCTAAAGTGCCGAGTTGGGAATCCGTAAATTAACTGTCAGCGGATTCATAAAAAAAGGATCATTTGTGAGAGAGGGAGGAAAACATCTCCATTTAACGTCAAGTAAAAGGTAAGTTTTTCTCTGATTTTTTTACAATCGATTTTCCCATAAATATCATCCGAGTGAGAGAAAAAGAGACAAACCTAGATTTTATCTGCAATATAAACAAGAATTAGATAACACTGCAAATGGCTTTATCAACGGTTCTCGGACATAAGGTCGAAACACGTTGAGGTTCCTATGCTGTTTTCGGCCATCACGACCACCGTTGTCCTGCTTTTTTTTTTTTTTTTTTTTTTTTTTTTTTTTTGTCATGTGCAGTGATCAACAATGCCAGGTGTCTGGAACAGGTGTCGGGGGAGCAGGTGTAGGGCAAGGAGAGACAGGGGGCTGGAATTCATTTACGTTCAGGTGTTGTATTTAGGTGATGTGTGCGTTGTGGCCGGGCGTGTGCGCCGTCTCTGTGTAAGTCTGTGTCGGAGTGATACACGTATGCCTCGCACGTTTATATGAGACCTCTGGTTGTTTTATTATCAGTATATGCTAAGGAAGAGGCTGATCCACTTCTAGGAACGGTTATTGTAACAGAAGAAGCCAAGGTGTGAAGACAAGACTCGTTTGCTAATTAAGAGATCATATGATTTGAGAATATTAGACTTTTAATTCACAAATACGTAGGCCTATAGAGAGATATTGTTATAATCTTTCTTAAAATATTGATATCAGTGATGATGGTAATAATGATAATGATGATAGTAGTGATAATTGTAATGATAATGATGATGATAATGATAACACTAATAATGGCGATGATGAAAATACTTGTCATAATGATAATGGTGGTGGTAATGATAATGATAATGCAAAAAATAATATTCATTACTATTATTATTGTTATTGCTATTATTTTGATTACTATTGTTATTATCATCGTGTATTGATAGTGTTATTATTTTTTGTTGTTGTTAATTATTGTTATTTATTATTGATATATTTCTGTTATTGCCATCATTATTGCTATTGTTATCATCTTCAACACCACCGCCATCACCATCATCATCATCGCCGCCGTCGTCGTCATCAATCACCATTATCAATAGTATTTTTTATTGTTGTGCTTTTTAATTGGTATTATATTTATTGTTACAATATTTTTTCTTCATATCATTATTATTATTATTACTAGTATTATTATTATCATCATTATTATTATTACTATTAGTATTATTAATATTATTATTGTTACTACTACTACTACTACTATTACCTTCATCTTCAGCATCATCATCATTATCATATAATCATCATCATCACCACTGCCACCATCACCATCACAACATCACCACCACCACTATCATCATCATCACCATCATCATCATCATAATCATCATATTCATATTCATTTATATTATTACCATAGATGAAATGATCGTTGTTGTAGTTGTTGTTTATCAAAAGATGTTGACAAAGCAAAAGGGTTACTAATAGATGTAGTTAGAAAAAATATCCGTTAACCGGAAAGAAGGATGAAAACAGGAACAGCAGAAAATGCGATCAGTGACTGGCAAAAAGTTTCTTTACCCGGACTTGAGAGTATTTGGCTAATGCTCGTTACCGATCTGGCCAATCGGTCGTTTACAGGGCTGCCTCTTTGATCTCCCCGAGACAGCCGGCATGCATTTGATGTGCGCCGGAGGTTGTACTCGCATGTATACAGACACACTCCGGAGGCGCAGACACACACACATACATAAATACATACGTATATATATAAATGTATTTATATATATGCATGTAATATAAACATATATGTGTCTGCATGTGTGCACAACACACACACACACACACACACACACACACACACACACACACACACAACACACACACAACACACACACACACACACACCACACACATACACACACATATATATATATATATGTATGTATACATGTATACACACATATATGTACGTACACACACAACCACGCACCGCACGCACGCACGCACGCACGCGCACGACACACACACACACACACATACACACACACACACACACACACACACACACACACACACACACACACACACACACACACACATATATATATAATATATATATATATATATATATATATATGTATATGTATATATATATAATATACATATATATTTATATATATATATGTATTTGTATATATATATATATGTATATATATATATATGTATGTTATGTGTATATATATATATATATATATATATATTATATATATATGTATATTTATATTTATATGTATATGTATATGTATTATATATATATGTATTATATATATATATAATATAATATATATATATGTTGTGTGTGTGTGTGTGTGTGTGTGTGTGTGTGTGTGTGTGTGTGTGTGTGTGTGTGTGTGTGTGTATGTATGTATGTATGTATGTATGTATGTATGTATACATACAAATAGACATATATATGACTATAGATATAGATTAGATATAATGATATAAAATATATAGATGGATGAATAGATGGTGAAGTAGACAGACAGAAAGATACATAGATAGACAGGCAGATAGGCAAGTATATATATGTTAAAAAAATGTAATGCCGTGAGAAGCAATATTACTGCAAAAGCTTAAAACACCTTCATGGCAACCGTGGATTCTTCAGCACCGATCCTCAGCGCAGAAATATCCTCATCTGAAGTGTGGAATTTATCTGCGATATACACGTCGAGGATAATGCATTCCTGCAGTCAGATTAGCTAATCTTTTGTATATAGATTTCGC